TCTAGAGTACTTTGTTTAAATATAATTGTTCTGCAGTRTAACAGATGAGTACATCTCACTTTTGATACTAGACCTGGCTATTACCCAGCAAGTCCTGAAAGTTTGATGGCAATTTCCTTCAACATCATTTGATTGGATGCTGTAGCCCATTGGTTTTCCAAGCATGCAGTTAGCTTTGAGAAGATCCATGCTGTATGCGGCTTATGTTTGTGTTCAGATTTTTCTTAAGGTGAAAAGGGTAATTTTTTTTTTTTTTTGCCCAGGCAAGGTACCTGCCAACATCTATCATCTCATTCTACTATAATGAACAGTTAGATTTTGGTCTCTGACTTTACCATACTGCTGTTCAGGAGCATCTTCCAGATCGTTGCCTGTTCCCGTTTCTTACATGCAGGATCCCTGCAAGGGATTTCTGTGCGAGTCAGTTTTTGCTCCGGGCAGAGCAGAACCCACCCTTGGCCTGAGCTGAGGTCTGCTCAGACTGATGAGACTTGGCGTCGAGCAGCTTCCCGCCGCCCCTCGTAGCAGGTCGGGGGCAGAGGGCCTGGACCTCTTCCTGAGAGGGTCTCTGCCTGCTGCAATTTGGGGGGCTCGTGGTAGCCAGGACACGGAGGTGGTGATGGGGGGTAGCGCTCTGATCCTCAGGGCAATGGTGGAAACTTCGGGTGGAAACTAAGTGACCATCCAGCAGTGGGGCTCAAACTCAAAGCTTTAATAACACAACTTAATCTTCAAACACTCCTCCTGTTTCACAGATACAGTCAAAAGCTTCTGCAGGCCTGTGAGRCTGCTGCAGTGCTGCTCTGCACTGAGGGCCTTCCTACCCTCTCCTCTTCCTCTCTTCCTTCCCCTCGGCAGCTGGGTGGGCATCGCATCGCCTTCGCTTGCCAGAGGTGCTTTTGCTTTCCCGTGTCACATTAAAGCCATGCAAATAGTTTCTATAGCAACAGGTCTCCTTGCTTAGCTCTGACGCAAAATCCCGAAAGGTCTTTCTTGTTCTGTGTCTTCATCCATTTCGGATTTTTTTTTCTTTCATCAACTTTCTCTTTGAAGATAAAGAGGAGAAAAAGAAATCAGGAGTTACCTTACAAGGGAGGTCACTGTGGAGTTTTTAATAACTSTCTGAAGGCTCTACAACAGGACCTGAACTTTGGGCCAAAGGAAGGATCAGCTGGAGTAATCGAGAGATTGCCTCTGTATAGATATACAGTGTTTGTTCTTGTTGTTGCTTTTTGATATTTTGATTGAAATCTTAGCTTTTTTTTTTAAAAAAAAATGTGTTCAAGAGTTTAAGCAGTAAATTCCCTAAGGTTTTCCGAGGTGATGGAGAGCACACACAGTACTTGCAGGCTCCTTGTAGCTGGGGCTTGGTAGCAGCACTTGAACACAGCTGTGCTGCAGTGATGACTAGTAAAATCTCGGAGTTAGGGCAGGTTTCTCTCTGAGAGGCCAGGGGATTAGCTAAGAACCTGTCTTGCTCACAAAACAGATGCGAGTCATCGTCTAAACTGACCTGGAGGATTAGATAGATGGTGCTCGGAGGCAATAAAAGGCTCACTTCACTGGAGAGGAAGATGTTACTTAAGTTCCTTTTGAGGAGGAGGAGAAGTACCTCTGATCTGTAGGTCTTGCTTTGTTAGGAAGCCAAACTAGGAGAATTTACTTCTGGCCTTCCCTTCTTCTGAAAGTCCTGTGGTCGTCTGCATTTTTGTGGTGAAGAATCTGTTGTCCCGGCAGGAAAGGATGGAAAAGATGCAGTCAGGTTAGACAGGCAGGTGAGTATTWTAGAGCTGAAAGGTACAAGTATAAAAATGTCCTGCGTGGACTGTRTGAGTTGGGAAAGGCCAGGGGAGGAAAAGAGCATTTATATCCTATCCTGAGTGGCAGAAAAACTGCTCTGGAGTTGGAGCAAACATTTTGAGACCTCCAAATGAAGAAATTCAGAGGAAGTTAATCAAGCTAGTGAACTAAGCCATGTAGCCTAATGTATGGGACATAAGAACTAGGTAAGAGAGATGAATCTGAGGCCCTGTTTCCCTTTCTGTCYTTTCATCTCTCAGTCTCTCTGGAACATATGCTGCAGGTTGTTGGGACTCTGTTAATAGTTGATGCTATTGCAAAATGAATGATAACAAAAGTAAAAGGTAGGTAAAATGATATAAAGCACTATTTCCTCTCGGCATGAGGGGCTTGGTCCAACAAAGTCTGTGCGGGGTGGTTCCTGCAGTGGGATGTAGCACAGCATCTACCATCTCATCAGGTTTCGAGGGGAGGGAGGTGTGTGGACACACACAGACTTTGGACTGTGCCTGTTTTCAGGGGAATGGACTTGCAAGGCGTGTGCAGGAAGGGCTCCAGCGGGATGTGGAGGACTCCGTTCCGGCAYACGGCCGCCCAGGCGGGGAGTCCTGCGTCCCACCCCCTCTTCTGTTTTGCCTTTGCTCCCTTGTATCATCCGGCAGTTGTGAAGGGCTTATTGGAAAGGCTAATGGTGGGCTTGTTGCTTTATGGATCTTTGTCCTCCTTCTCAAGGAAGAGCTATTGCTAGCTGATAAAACTTAAAATCCGTGGAAATCGTTGCAGGCACAACTGCAGAAGTTAYGTGGCTGGTCAGGTGCCACCTAGGGCTGCAGTTTACTGCTAATATTCAACAAATCCAAGATGTAAAATTGGCAACATCTGTAGAAATGCAAAGGGCAAAGCACCCTGCAGCTCCTTGACTTCTTATGTTGTAYACATGCTATGTATGTATGTTATTGACATACATTCCTTGCTTACCTTCCTCCAAAACTCCCCGTGTGTTGCACAAACTGCTGTGGCTCTGGGTTGTATCCTAAGGAGCGGGTTGTGCAAGGATAGGATGACCTTTGTGTTCCCGTTCAATTACTTTACCCATGGGAAGGACGTGTTTTGTCCCTGAAGTGGGTGACACTTCATAGGTCACTTGACCTTCCTTTTTTTCCCAGCCTTAAAACAGGACTAAAAGCTGTCTCCATCATACAGTTCTTCAGTGCAGCAATAGATTCCTTAGGTGAAATCTGTAGAAATCCATGCTATATATTTAAAAACTGCAAGTTTGACAAGTTTGAGTTGAAGATCCTTCTGTTGAGCTGGACGGAGCCTCACACTGTCTTGTTGTCGTGACTTGTAACGAAGCGCGGTCCTTCTCGGCTGTTCCCAACCGTCTGCTGACGTAAATCCCTATCTAACATCAGGCTCCKGTGCGCTCCCAGCCATGCTGCTCCGAGCCAAGCTGGGGGGCTAATAACATCAGCAGTCACTCTGGAGATGCTTCGTGGATCTGCTTGGCTTTGTGTTAATAACGCTGCGCGCCAGGGCAGGTTTCATAAAGCCACTGTTTGCCTTTCTGCTGTGGAAATGGCAGGTTTGCAGAGCCCTCCAGCAGGGAGGGATGAACTAAGTTGCTGCTCTCACTCCTTTTCCCTGTCTTAGGATTCTGCTCTGCTTCAGGTTCTGGCTGTTCCTGGCWGAACTCATTGTGGTTTAAGTTCAGGGTGCTTCCCATGCGCACACAGAAAAATCTTACGCTTCTCCTTCAGTGCTCAGTGTAAACTAGACTTCAAAATGTGATAAATGGCAACAGATGTTGTGCCTGCATCAAGTTGTTCCCTGGCATCTTTCACGCCCTCTGTTCCCTACCCTCTGACCGGATCGAAAGCCTTCTGGGGTTGAGCCTTGCTGTTTTCTAGGTTGTCAGCACTTCTCGGGAAGGAACGTGAGCCGCAGGCAGAACATCGCGCGCAGTTTCCAGGGTTACCTGTGTCGTGCTGATAGCCAGCAGGAAATTAAAATGCTCCACGATGATAATACGTTATCGGCAGCAGATGGGAGCCATTAGGTGTACGTGCATGTCAGGGGAAGGTGTAAAGGCAAACAGAGGAGATGCAGAGAGAGGTTTCTGTAATCATCACTGGAGGTGTCGAGCTCCGCTGTGGATGAAGCTGGGCAGTCCCTGAGCCCCTGSTTGAGTGACACTGACAGCTCTTGGGAGCTGTTCCAGGTAGTCAATGTGGTCTCAGATTATTTGTTTGCAGAGTTTATTTTTTTCCCTAAACAGCTCTTTTATGCAGCAAGTGCTGATTCTCTCTTAAGAAACCTCTGTCTCTTACCTTGGGGCTGTTGTACTTTATAACCTCCCCAGATATGGTCCAGTTCCCCGCAGCCTTGTGGAGACTTTGCTGATCTGCTGTGGCCTGTGTCAGGGACATGCCAGGGGAATGTTAAATCTGGAAAATTGATGGAGGATTTGTTTGCTGACCTTTTAGACTAGCAAAACCCCGAGCACTTTTACTGCCAGAAGAGCTACTGCTTCCTTCCTCTACCTCTGTGGGGGTTTTTTGTTTGTTTGTTTTTGTTTGTTTTCATATTCTTTGTTAACTCCAAACATAGAGCTAAACTGGAGCATCCACAAGCTGCTTGCAGTGCAGGACACCACACAGTTCTCCCCAATGAAGTGCCTCTTCTAGCCATTTGTGTGTGTGGAGGTGCTGACTGGTGTGTGTCAGGATGAAACAGGGTGCAGAGTGTCCTGGAAGAGAGTGATGCAGGTGTTTAGACCTTCAGGTTTAGACCTTCGGTTTTTCCCTAAACTCAGGCTTAGCTTTGCTTGTGGTCTGCGGAGGCACATGGAAGGCTACTTCTAGATGTGTTCTCCTCTTCAGCCCTGGCTTTATAAACTGTAGTTTCAATTAAACTTGAAATGCCTAAAATCCCGTGAAGACTGACACAATCTAAAACTTTTTCAAGCCTAACACAATCTAATGCTGTCTTAATAAAGCACYATAAACTTTCTTTCACCATAGCACACGTGGGCCTGACATAGCATTGTGCCAATTGTGTGATCTCAAGCAAACCAAAGCACCCTCAGATCTCTAGTTTTGAGATAGCTCAGCACAAATGCGTAGCTCCCTCGGTTACTGGCTGGAAGAACTTTCCATGCTTGTGCATATAACGTTTTTAATGCAAGTGTTTGCTTTCAGATGTTCTCAATGACGCCATCTTTGATGAAGATCACGATGAGATGGTAATTGTGAAGGACATAGACATGTTCTCGTTGTGTGAGCATCACCTCGTTCCCTTTGTTGGAAAGGTAACTCTTCCTCCCAAAATAAATACTGGCACACAGGATAGAAGACCTACATGCAAAGGACTTYATAGCTTCTTTTTTTACTTTTTCTTTTTTAAGCAATAATTATTTACTATCATAGCTATTTATTGGCTATGATTTGAACAGTTGAACTTGGAATAAAAGCTTAGAATACAAAGCCTAGAATACAAATGAGAAGGATCTTCCTAAAGCGAGTTGTGTTTGTATTTAAGCCCATAAAACATAATGCTCAGCCCTTTCTAGTCTAAATAATCTAATGTTTTCTGACATTTCGTATCAAAGCTCTTCGCCGTGAAGCAGCAGCAAGCCTTGGGGGCAAACATCATGATATTAAACCTGCTCACCCCGCACACTGGCTCTGCTCTGTCATGGATCACACTGCTGGCTCAGAGCTATCATCTAGTGCATGTTCACCTCAAGAACCCCTGCAAATGGAACCAACTTCTCATTAGCAGCACTGTCTTAAATAAGTAAGCACAGTCAGAAGGGCTGCACTCAAAAATGACTAGCAGGAGGCCACTGCAGTTGGGATTCCCTTGAATGGGGGCTTGCGTAGCAGCTGATGTTGAAATTATAGTGTCAACAACCTTAAAAAAATCCTTTTGAGTTAGGTGCTGTAAACGTGATAAGGTGTTTGGAGTTGGAAATTGCACCTGCAAATCTCAGCCTCTTCACTGCCACCTTAACACAAAACAATGGAGGTAATTTTAATCCATCAGTTTGATTATGAAGTACTTGGGCCAGCGAGTGCAAGTGCTCGTCTTCTGTAAAATTTGAAGAGAGTCATATATGGTCCAAGAATACTGTCCTCCCAAAACAAAGTATGTGAAGACAAACCACTTAATGTAGCTAGTGGAGTCTCTGTTTTGTCTGCTTTCTTTCCTCGCTGCTAGTATTTTGTAGAAGGAAACAAAGGAACTTCTTTTTCTGTGCAAGCTTTCTATTTTGCCTRTTTTTCTTGGTTACACGTACTGTGTATATTCTTTTCCTTACTTCTGTGGCAATATATGCATTCTTTTTACATCTAGCTGTTTAGCCTGTGTGGTTTGGAGAAATGTCCTCATAAAAAACAAATCGGTCCTGCTCGTTTAATGCTCTGCTAAATGACTTGGTATGCCTCTAAATATTCTCAGACTAACCAYTCTCCTGTTGGATACATCAAACAGGCTGCAAATGCTGCTCAATGGGTCCTGTATTTGCAGCTCTATCTGAAAAATTAAAAATTCACAAGGATACTTGTATGGGGAACAGGATTCAACGTTTATTTCTGAGTTATGTCTCTTACTTGATCTGAAATGTTTCATGTCTTTCAGGTGTCAGTGGGTTGATTACCCAACAGCAGTGATAGGAATGAGCAAGTTAGCCAGGTAATTAGGTGCACTGTGGTACCTCTCTTGCAGGTACAGCAAAATAGGATGCTGAGATGGGGCCTCTAGGCAAAGCCCCAAGGGAGAATCCATCTAYGATACTCCCCTACTGTATCTTGGCTAATTTTTCAAGTCTCTGGTACAGTGATATAAATGCTGGTTTACAGTCTGCTTCAGCTATAAGCCCATGTGAATTCAGTAGCCTGTGTTGCTTTCTAAAACAAGAAAATAAATGCCTTTTCGTCCTCCCTCCACATCCAAACATTTATTTTTGAAGAACTTATTTCAGAATAGTGCAGTATTAATGTTCAGTAAATCTGCATTCAAGTGTGATGGAAGTTGGCTTAATCACAAGGTAGTCTTTGGCACTACCAGTACCATATCAGTTGGCCTGAGAAAAATCAGTAAGTGGAGCCTGATTTTGGTGGTAAAGCACTTGCCCTGAGAACTTTCACTGGGCATAGAATGCCTAATCTCTCCTTCTTCCTAAGCCTATTTTAGGCCTTGAAAGGAAAGCATGTTTATTTTAGATGAGCGGTGCTGTACTGAGTAAAAAGGACTACTTTTTTGTACCCAAGTGTAGTGTTTCACAGCATTCCTGAGACTTGGAACATAAGCCTTGGCTCTTGAAAAGCTGTGATATTTCTCCCGCTCAGAAAACTTAGGTATTCTYCACCAGGACACTGACCTCACCAGACATTTACACTCTTTGGTAGCTCCCTAATCTTCCAGACTTGCATGGTGGCATGTCCTTCCCACATGCTGGAATTGTGTGAATCCCTCTTCTGGATTGTTCCAGAATTAGTTCTGGGGTGAATGCACATCTCATTCTCTCTGCATGAGTTTCACATGCATTTGGAAGTGAGCATTTTGATTCTGTTAATGGTTTTCTCCTCTGTCTAGGTCCATATTGGCTACCTTCCTAACAAACAAGTGCTGGGGCTCAGCAAGCTTGCTAGGTAAGTGTCAATGTAGTGAAAGTGATGCTAATTTGTGAAAAGGATTTTAAGCTGTTCTCACTGTGCTAATCTTTCTAATCCGGTATCCCTCTAAAGCTCAGCACACTTTGTGTCCTCAGTTTGGATTTAGACCAATCCTCAGCATTTACTTGTTTTTGTGAGGAGGACAGATAAGTCTCAGCGCTCCGTGTTAATTCACATCACAGTCGACTGTAGCAGAGCTGTTGCCATTGCTGTAACACTTTCTTTTTTTTTTGTGTTAATTGATGTCTGCAGGGAACACAGGAGCAAGAACAAGTAGGGAAACTTGTTCTTTCCAAAGAAGACAACCCAAACCAGTGGAAATCTCTGCTGTTTATTTAGCTGTTTATTTCTCGCGGGTATATTGATCTATAAGAACTGATCTCTAGAACTTCTGAACTGTAAATGAACCCACTCTGGATTTGCACCACACATAGAGCTTTCATATCTCTTAGCTAACTCTTCAGATCAAATTCAGATACAATTTTCTTTTACTTGAGACCTGCTGAGAGAACTTCAGGGTAGATCTTATAGATAAGACTCAGCCTAAGAAACAAAGTAATTATGATACACTTGAGAAACATGGTTTTTATGTAAAATAGCTTTGTTCTCTGGCAAATGCCCCCAGATCAGTTGCTGCACTGAGTCTGAAAGTGACACTTTSCAGTTGTAATGGGGAAAGGGATGGTAGATCCCTTAAATAAGCAGGTTTTGGGCTAGCAGAGTGGAAGGTTCTCTTCTGTCAAACAAATCTGAGGCAACTCAGCTGCTCAGGAAGACCACATAGGACTTGCTTACGTTTTGCTTGATGCACTTGCTAATCTTCTTGTAGTTCCAGTAACACTAATGAGAATTAGCCTTGTAAATCTGCAAGCCTGCTGGGTTTTCTTAGTGGGTAAGAAATATGTAGGATATGATGCTGAGGTTCTTGAGATTGATTCAGCTCTGTTCTGTGCTCTGTTTGCACAATGATGAATTTGGTTTTGAASTGGAAGGGCCCTTGGATATCAAGCAGCTGCTAATGTAACCTCACTGTACAGGGGAACCCTCTCCAGGGGTGATTATAGCAGTGGGCTCTGGTCYAGTAGTGGGCTCTCATTAAAAGGTTGAAACAAGCAATTCAACACTGGACTTTTGTATTTACTTACCGTAACCAGACCTACAATCTTCTGGAAGAGGTAGTGCCTTTAGTTTTCTTTCTGAAGAGCATGAATTCAGAATTAAAGATCACATTTGAAATATGCATCCATCGATTTGTGTTTGCTCTGGTCTTCAATTATCTCTGAATTGCAGGGGTTGAAGGGATTCGGAATTGTCTTGAGTGATCCTTACTGCAAGTGGCAACAGCTCTCAGCACAGAGACGTGCTTGGAAACATGCAAGGCTTCCACCACTGTGCTTTAAAGCTTAAATCTTGCCTCTTTTGCAGGTTAGGGTGAAGCTCCCTTACAATATAATAATGAAAAGATAAGATTTCTGTATAACAAAATGTTCGCAGTCCTCATTGCTTTTGAGTGCYTACCATGAGAAGAGATTAGTGAACCAAATCACTCTTCCCTCCCTTGTTCTGTATAATGCAGCCGTGTTCAGCCAGAGCTTTGTGAGGCTGTTGGTACTGTAGGAATAATCTTTCATAATAGGATTAGTCTAATGTGGGGAGTTTCTGTAGTTGTGGATGACCTGTATTCAGTAAACAAACATCTCTTTGGATTTTCAGCTCAGGCTGGAAATGCTAGCACGAATAGACCACTTTGCACATGAGAGGCTTTGCCAGCACGTTTSTTCAATTCAACCAACTTTTTCCTAGGCATCTATTTAATCTAAATATTATCTTGCTTTTGGTTAATRGATGTAACAGCCATTTCTGGAAGGGGGTTTCTGCATATAATTTTCTCCCCGAAACAGCAGGCAAATCTCATTGGCAGAACCACTTTTTGTGACTAATGCCCCTGGCTGCCAGCACGTATCTATTTCTCATGTATGCTGGCCAGTTGGGCACTGAAGCTTTCTTTCTATAGCAACTTCTTTACCTGGCCACTTGACATGTAATTAAGCATTTGAGATTTGCAGGAATATCCACTCTGTAAGTCAGTGGSTCCTCGAATTTTCTCTTAAGTATATTGTTGGTAGAACTGTGGTCATGAGTTATTGTGGTATYGCTTGCATTGCCCCACAAATGGTTTAAATTGGAGTTCACATTAGAGAGTAGCACTGAAGTGATCCCCGCAGTGGAACATGAATGATGGTGTGGTGCACTGAGGGAGGGTGTCTGTTTTAATAATAAGTTATTTCTCATTGTTCTCAGTTAAGTTTGTGGTTAAATGCAAGAATCCAAAACATTTCTTGCTCAATATCTCTCTGGAAAACTAAATATCTGAACTGCCCTTAAACAGTGCTCAGGCTACAGCAAGGCAGGAGGTTATAGTCTGACTTAAATTCCAGGATTASCTTTCAGGAAGTCTTTGGGCATGGATCCCTTTGTAAGCGTGGCTTCCAGATTGGTGTTGCTACAAGCGTGTCAAAAATAACAGCCAAACAAGAGAAGCCTGAGGAGCAGTGACAGGGTTGGCCTGGAGCTCTTGGTGCAGGGATGTCTTCCCGCCGGAGCAGCAGGATGATGTCACCTGGATTTCCRGGAAGGGCACAGCAGCAGAACCATGTCCCTTGCCTTTCCCAGAAGGGCACAGAGCAGCGGCCTTGCTTGGCACTGCAGAGCTAACTGAAGATCAGACAGTGCCACGATAGGAATAACTCTCATGAATTGTTTCCTCTTTTTTTTTCTCTCTCTCTCTTTAGGATCGTGGAAATATACAGTAGAAGACTACAAGGTAAATAGCTGATTTTCTTCCTAGTGTGTGCAGGCCTTTGCTAGCCAGCTCAGGGTAATTAMATTTATGTAGATTCAGTCCTCCTATATATAGAAGTCTTATGAGTGCAGGTGCCAGAAGTGTGGGAAATAAAGGTTTGCAGGACCACAGACTCCCTAATTTGCTTTTTTTCCTCCCTATTCTTTGTTTCCTTAAAAAGAGAAAGAAATGTGTAAGGAATGAATAATGTAGCTCTAAATTTGGTGTAAAAAAAAAAAGTGAAAAATGAAAGAAAATACAAAAGTAAGAAAATTTAACTGCATAATCACAAAATCTCGGAATGGATGAAGTTGGAAGGGACCCCCAGGGATCCCCCAGCGCAGCCCCTGCTCCAGCAGGGACACCCAGAGCACGGGGCACCCGGGCACATCCAGGCGCCTTGGGAAGATCTGCAGAGCAGGAGCCTCCGCAGCCTCCCTGGGCAGCCTGGGCCAGGGCTCGGGCACCCTCACACCAAACAAGTTCTTCCTCACGGCCACACGSAGCTGCCTGGGTTCCAATTTATRTARTGGGAGACACAAGGTCTGTTATACCAAATCATGGTACTGTACATTCCAGCAAACCTGTGAAATGCAAAGTGATTCCCCAAATCACCAAGAATAAAAGACTCATTCCAATAAACCCAAATACAGGATAGGATCTGGTACTGCTGCTCTTAAACAACTGACGCAGAAAGAGCAGAGGTAGGAGGGGGACCAGGTCCCCTTGGAAGGGAGAAAGCAACAGCCTCATGTTGCCCTCCTGTGTGTCACGTGCAGATGCGGCTGGTGCCTTGATGCCAGCCAGGTGTGAGGCTGCTTCTGACCCCTCCGTTGTCCTTTCAGTCCAGGAGCGCCTTACCAAGCAGATCGCCATCGCCATCACGGAGGCCTTGCAGCCCGCCGGCGTCGGCGTGGTCATCGAAGCCACGTAAGTCACAACGCGGGGTCGGGAGCACTCAGCACTCAGCAGTGTGTCCATCTCAGCACGGAGGTTTCCTTGCTTCCTCAGGATTCAGCTTAACCCTGCAAGAAACACGCGCTGCTCTTTTATTTGCAGGGTTGCTGCGTGTCTTTATGTCACAAATGAACCTGATTTATTGGGTCTCGCTGTCGTTTCTTCTAGGCATATGTGCATGGTAATGCGTGGGGTGCAGAAAATGAACAGTAAAACAGTAACCAGCACAATGTTGGGGGTATTCCGGGAAGATCCAAAGACCCGTGAAGAATTCCTGACTCTCATCAGGAGCTGAAACTGTGCCATTCTCCACATGTACTCTGGAGGCYGTCTGTCCGGTGTCACTGTCCGTTCTTGTATGTTTTTACATCTCACTTTTAAACTAAACCGTCGTGAATTGTTGTCGTAGTCTTTGTGCAGKGGAAGACTTTCGATGGCAAATGAAAAATGTAAGGAAGAGGTAGGCACGTGTTGCCCGTGTCACAGGGCTACACAGCTGTGAACAGGGCTGTGCAAAGGCTTTTTCATCGGGAGCACCAAGTGCACTGCCATGGGGAGCAAAATGGGGTTTGGGAGCAAAATGGGTATTTATGGAATAGGATAAATACAGCGCAGCATAGGAAGCAGTGAAAGGCTGTGGATCCTGCGAATACTGCACCGCCAAGCACGGTCCTGTGTTGTCCCTGACTGTATTTTATTGTAAACCCTTTGGTGGCTGTTTCAGTATCTGGATACATATGCTATACCTCTTTGAGATGTTACTCTGGTGGTGTTTTATAGTCTTGCTAGTATTAATCCCTCCCCTCCCTTTTTTGTTGTTTTTTTGAGAATTAAAAATGTGTTTTTCCTTGCCTCTTAACATGCAGGGAATTAATTGCTAAATAATTTGGGGCGCAGCCTTATCTCGATGTAAAGAGTTTTATGCACCTTCTTCTCTGTGCCTCAGACCATTTTAACTATCAATTTCTGACTATTTTTAAGCAGATTTTAACAGGAAAGAAAGAAAGGAAGGAAAGGAAGGAAGGAAAGAAGGAAGGAAGGAAAGAAAGAAAACCTCAGAGTATGTCTACAAAAACCTAAGCTATCCAAAGAGATTTAATGATTTTTTTTAAATGATTTTTGTATGTTTTCTCCTTCTCGGATTTCCATGGGTTTGTTACACTGAGTAGCTAAAACTAGTCTGGTATTTTGAAAACAAAGATTTCTCTTCAAACATTTCCGGATTTGCATCTTTTAAACATTGGCCCCAAGGTGGGTGCTGAAATCTTGAGCACGAAAGGTTGTAGCTGTCCTGTCTGTTGTCAGGTCATTCCAGGACAAGGTAACCTGAGAGGACAACAACTTATTTCATAAGAGCAATGGAGGAAACTATTTCCAGGGCCATCAAAATGAATTAAGCCACATTTTTGTGTGTATGTGGCAACCTCTGTATGTGGCAGTGTTGGTACAGAAAGCATCAGTCCACTGGACTTGGCTGAACTTCTTATAATTTATTACCATTTTAATGAATGTTTTGTAACTCTTAATTGGGAAAACATGATGAACAAATGAAAACCACGCTTCTCCAACTAAGTACTCAGTGCTCAAACTAACTTAAAAAATGAAATGTCATCCAGCATGTCGGATGGCCACAAAGCATGTTCCTGTGCACATATCTGCATTGCTGGATTTGCTGAATATGAATCCAAGATGTTTCCCTATTCTGACCTAAAAGGCAACTCCTAATCTTGCACACTCAGGCTTCTTTATTCTTTTTTTTCCCCTCTTTTTGCTAGAAACAAAGCAAAATTTATGCCAAGCTAAATTCTAATTAAGCCTGAAGAACTTTAAACAGTACAAATAAGAAAGGCTTTAGAAAAATCCCCATCTCTATTTATTAGTGTAACTACCCGCTCTTCTTTTTGCCAATAACATCATGGATTTCACGATACCAACTTTACCTTGAAGACCTTCACAGTATTATTACAAAAAAAAAAAAATCCTTTGTAATATCCTGTATCCTTGATTCTGTATTTGTGAGGTGCTGTAAAGCTATTTCTCTGCTAGCACAACCAAGCTGCAGTGTTGCACGTGTATAAAATACACCAACTCTCTGGAGTTTGTTTTCTTTAAACAACTGAGAGCAGATACTGGCCCTTTTGTGTTCCATGTGTGTTCCAAATATCCAGCTAAAAAGCCTTAAAATCACCCGTGTCTGAAGTTCAGAGTATAACTTTCTCTCCTTTTAGCTCAAGAGTTGGAAGGAGAACTTGAGGACCAAGARGCACCCGCTGATGTTTGTTTCTGTCTGCTGCTTTAGTCTTCTGAAACTGTTAATTCTCCATTAAAAACGCTCTCTTACTCCGGAGGTAACAAAAAAGGTTGCATTTTAACCACTTATCTTGATTCAGGATAAAGTTCATGTTGCACCACCACCAGTTTTTATTTCTGTGACCTGTACTCCTTAAAACATACCCCCCTCTACTCATGGCCTTGGATTTTGTTCGCAGTTTTTGGCTGTCGCTGTTTGSTGCAGTTTTATTTTTTGCAGCTTCGGTGTTGGTCAAAGGCAGYGCCGCCGGTGTGCGGCTGTGTGTGGCACCTACAGCCCGCCGTGCACCGCGGGCYGCTCGCTTGTCCCTCGTTAAGGTGTAATGCCCACATTAAACGCAGTGTTACCCGTGGAGTGGCAGCGTCCTTCTCGGCTGGGTGACACTGGTCCTTGTGCCAGGAGATGCTCTCAGACCTCGCTCTCAGGTGCTCTCYGGGTCTGCTGGTGTCAGCCTTGTCCCCAGGGGAGTCTCCGTTTGACGCAGGACAAACCCCAAAGCATCCTCCATCCTGCAGGATTTCTTGGCGCCCGAGGAGCCTGCGGAAAACCGATCAGGACAGGGACAATGGAAGCAGGGGCTGTTTCGGAGCCTCTGTGAATCTCCCTCTTCTCAGCTGCCAGTCAGTGGAGAGGGACTTGGAGTCCTGGTGGACAAGAAGTTACCCGTGAGTCAGGAATGTGCCCTCGTGRCCAAGGAGGCCAACGGGATCCCGGCTGCATCAGGAGGACGTGGCCAGCAGGGCAGGGAGGGGATCCTGATCCTGCCCCTCTGCTCCGCTCTGGGGAGGCCAAACCTGGAGCAYTGGGGGCAGCTCTGGGCTCCCCRGGACAAGGGGGACGTGGAGCTGCTGGAGAGGGGCCAGCGCAGAGCSACAGGGATGGGGAAGGGGCTGGAGCAGCTCGTGTGAGGAGAGACCGAGCGAGCGGGGCCTGTTGAGCCTGGAGAAGAGAAGGGGGAGAGGGATCTGATCAGCATGGACAAACACCTGAGGGGAGGATGGAGGGAGGAAGGGGCCAAACTCTTCTGGGTGGTGGCCAGTGCCAGGACAAGGGGCAGTGGGGACAAGGTGAAGCCCAGGCAGCTSCGTGTGGCCGTGAGGAAGAACTTGTTTGGTGTGAGGGTGCCCGAGCCCTGGCCCAGGCTGCCCAGGGAGGCTGCGGAGGCTCCTGCTCTGCAGATCTTCCCAAGGCGCCKGGATGCGCCCGGGTGCCCCGTGCTCTGGGTGTCCCTGCTGGAGCAGGGGCTGCGCTGGGGGATCCCTAGGGATTCCTTCCAACCTCAGCCATCCTGTGGGTCTGTGGTCAAGGCTCATGGTCCCCTTGTGTCCTGGGGGGCCCTCTGCCCCTCGCTGGCTCCCACCACGCTTCGTGCTGTGGGGAGATGCTCTTCCCACGGCCGCGAGGTCCCTCYGTCCCGCAGGGCCTCTGGAGTGAGCCGGTGGGCAGCAGGTGAGGGAAGCGCCGCTGGACAACGCGGTTTCCTGGAGYGGGGACCGAAGGCGCCGCCGGAGCYGCCCTTGGACCTGGATCAGTGAAGGGTCCCGGGCGGCACAAGGAGGGGACGGGGGTGACCCCCACGCCAGAGCCCTGCCCTGYGGCTGGGGACCCGCTGGGGAGCAGGGCCCCGCGCTCATCCAGCCCCGGCCGCTCCCCTGGGATGCAGCTAGTTCCAATGGGAAAAGGCAACTTGGGAGGGCGGGCGAGGACGGGGCAGCCGCTGCCGGAGCGTTTCTGTGCGTGAGCTCCATGGCAGACACGGAGCAAGGAACAAAAGCTCCCTCCAGCCCTGCATGTTTTTCCCAGCCCTCTTTGGAAAGAATCTCGTGGGAACCCCGGAAGGATTTTTGCCTTGTCATGAAGCGGAGCTGCTTCTGCTTCTCATGGTTGTATTTTAAAGCTGGCGACTGGSGTGGGAAGAGCCTCACTGTCTAAACAGGCATTTCTGCACGAAACTCTCTATCCCAGCGGTTTTTCTAGGTGTGGGATTTTTGAGGAATCCCCCTGGATCTGCGAGCACGTGAAGATCCCTGCAATCACTGCGGGAAAACACCCCGCTCTCCTGCCTGCCATGGACTTGGAAGCGGTGGCAGCTTAGAAAGCGGAGGGCTGCGATGAGCCCGGCCTAAGAGCCAAAGGCCTCGTCTCCCTGTCCATCCACGGATCCCATCCTGGGAATGTGCCTCCCACACTTCCCTGCCGACAGGGTCCTGTTCATGTCACAGTGCGGAGCCCCCTGTGTTCCCCCTGGATAAAGGCCCTTCCACAAGCTCCTTGGTGGGCGCTGCCCCCGGGAGAGACCCCGTGGGAAGGAGCGGGATGCGGCGGGAGCGGGTTGGGGGTTGTGGGTTGTGGGTCGCGCAGGTGGGTCCAGCTCAGCCCGCCCTGCGCCCGGCGGGAAGCGTCGCTCCCGGGAGAGCCCGGATCCRCAAACACCCGGCTGGCGGCCTGGGGGGTCCCGTGGAATCCGGGCGCTGCTGGCTCCACATTCCTGAGTTCTTTGCCTTTAACTCCGGTGAATCTCTGCAGGTGGAAGGTGCAAAACAGGGTAGGACTAGGGATCTATCCCTGCACCACCCTTTGCCAAACATGCTGCCGGTGGCCGCGTTTCCTGGATCACTAGGATCCGCTCGATCACTAGGACCCGCTAGGACTGAAGGGCAGGAACTACCCCTGGCTGGTTGCTGCCTCCATGGGGATCGATAGCGGAATGTTCCCGGCGTGGTGGGATGAAGGCCTTGGCATGCCACTGGCTCCGACACTGGCTCCTGGATCCACCACCGGCTCCGGGATCCGACACCAGCTCCTGGATCCGACACTGGATCCACCAGCGGCTCCCGGCTCTGTGGCTGGCCGGGGCCGCGCGGTCTGTGGCTCCCTCTGCCGTGCCCAGCCCGGCTCTCACTCCGGAGCCGGGAACTCGCGGGATCAGCCCTCTCCCTCCGGAGACGTGTGTCTGTCTGTACACATAGATATGCACATATATACTTAGCTACGCAAAAGCAAGGGCAGCAAATGGGATAGGGAATCCCTTGGCAAGGGCTGGCAGAGCCTCGGCTCCCTCGGGCAGGGACATTCCGCCTCTCACCCACCTATTTAACCCTCTCGCGTCCGCCCGTCCAGCTCCAACCTTCCACTCTGGGATTTTCCCCCATTGCCTTTCCCTTTTCCGCCTGTATTAGTGCGGCCAGCTCGGGCTCTGACACCCCGTGGGCGCAAGGCCAACAGTTCATGGATGGCGAGGATGATTCGCTGGGATGCGGGTGACGCTCCAGGGCGCCCCAGCAGCAGGGAGGTCCGGAGGGCAGCGCCGGGGGCTACGGATGAGGAGGGATGCAGGAAGACCTGGCCATGGAGAGGACATGGAGGGGATGTGGCGGGAGAAAACAGCCTGGCGCGGAGCGGCTCGGCCTGGAAATGTGCCTTTGATCCCGGGTCCAGCCCTTCTTCCCCATTCAAATCCAGGCGTGCAGGACCGGCTGGGCCCGTCACACTCTCCTGCAAACCCTTTTGCTCCTTTTCCCCCTCATTTTTCATTCCACAACTTTGGCCATCGGCTTTTTTTATAAGTGACCGGCTGCTAGAGGGAGGGAAAGAAAAAGGCAACACACCCCAGTGTTACAAAACCTTGTATTAATCATCTCCCTTCACTTTCAATATAACGTTGATATGAAATATAGCCATGACTCCTAGTTACATGGGAGGAAATGAGTAATAAATACAGTGTAGCAAGTTTAAATCACGAGGGTGTTTCACTGGTAACAACATCTGAAAACTGTACACTTGCAGGGACCAGCATCTCCAAACATTAGTGTGTCTGTATATCGGGGAAGCTTTTACATGTAACAAACATGCTGTTTCCATATATGACAAATTTAAAAAATAGGCATTGCTCGGCAACATTAACTAGGCAAAAATATTTCTTTGTGCACTAACTTTGTACAGAGGAAAATAAAAAGAAGGAAAAAAAAA